TAGAAACTGATAAACTCTCATCAATAAAAACATCCGTATGGTCTCACTGGAAGCTTCCACACAAGCTACTGCTATGACCCGAACATGGAAACACCCTGAAGTGCAACACAAGCATCATTTTTTCTGGCGTTAAATTTCTTCCTACTAATAGGCGTGTTGGTGTTTATTTTGGAAAAATACGATTCCAAGGCTTCTACAAAGCTTTGATGTGCGGCCGCTGATTGACAGCCGTGACTGACGGTTGCCTCCCTCGCTGCTTTCACCTGCCCCAGAAGTTGTGTCTGACTTTTGAAGCTTCTGTTTAAAGAATAAACAGAGACTTTTCCACCGTCTCGCAGCTTTACCGTGTTTGTGGTTCCGGAGTTGCGCAAAACAAAACCTTCGCTTGATGTTGCGATGCCGTATTCTACTGAAATGTAATGTTTGTAACTTTGATTTCTGCCCTGTTAGCACAATGCAACTAAAGTAAGGAGCAACATGTTCCAGAGAACAAAAGACACCTGTGCAGTCTGATTCAAAGGATCGGGGCTTTAAACGTAGAAAATGGTGCCGAACAAACAAGCTGCAGCTCTGGGCCTCGACGCAAACCAAAGGCTGACGTCACACCTCTCTACGTCCGTATTTATACACGGATTTTGCCACTTTTACTCCACTGCGTTCAGATTTCATAGCAGTTTTGGATATTTAGATCCTGAGAGCTCCTCTAGTCTTGGCAGTCTTGGTGGGCACCATTTGGACGGCTCTGGTCGGGGATTTTAATCCAGTCTGCAGTGCAAACTTGGCTAACTTTTAACCACTACCACAGTCATAACTACTACCTCTGATATGTTAAATCCCTCCTCGCTGTATGAGTTCCTGACTTCTTCCACCATCTATGACATGGGTTCTCAACTGGTCTCACCCTGGGACCCACATGTTCCCGTGGTCATGAAGTCGCCACCCAGTTTTACTTTTCAATATATTTTACTGTGCAACATGCATGTCAGAGCTTATAACCATGCACAGTAACTGGAACATGACAACTGCATGTACAGAAGTGAATAAAACCATCACTCAGACGGGGGACAGGGGGTTGTGGGCGCTGAGCTTCTGGTCCGACCGACGGTGGCGGGAGGGGGGATATTTGGAGATCCAAACTGATATCCGGATTCCAGCACAGTGAACCAATAGGTGGCTATTCGGGTCCAGCCCTAGTATGAAAACCCACATTTTAAATACTCCGGGTCATGTTTTTGTCATCTTGCGTTCCGACATCAACACAAACTTAAAATGAACTCAAACAAACTATGGTTACCGTGCCTGTCAAAATAAAAGTTTTTTCAAAATAAAAAATGAGTCCAACCTGAGACGCACATTAAATATTATTTAAATTTGACCAGCTGTCCGCGACCCACCCAGAACAGGTCCGCGACCCACCCTTGGGTCGCGACCCACCAGTTGAGAACCCCTGATCTATGACACCAACCTACAGGCCCATTTGTGGAACAATAAGCTAGCAGTGCTGTTGTTAGCCGTTAGCTGGTGCTCTGAATGTGTTTTTAGCCTTTATTTGTTGGCACCATTAGCATTGTGTTGCAGCTGCACAGACAACCGTCGCTGCATTACTAAAGAAACCTTGTTCTGGCCTTGTTCTGTGGAATATCCTGTAATTTCCCAAGTGATGAGCTAAAGTGCATATCATTCCCAACCTCTCCTTGTAATGTTTTCTCCATCCCTGCTTATGATATTTGCCTGCACCACATGTTTAGCCTTGAACAATGTCTACACCTTGTTCGTGCAGTTAGACTGAAATCATCCCTTTCAGCTGGAATGCTTTCAGCAAAGTTCCACCAACCTCCAGCAGGAGTCTCACTGCCTCGGTCTTCCCACAGAGGGCAGCTTCGTGCAGGGCAGTGCCCGCTTTGGTCTGTCTGTTGATGTCGATGCCGGCCTGGATCAGCAGCCTGGAAGCAGAGGGTGGGAGGGCAGGAGAGAGGAGGCGAGGAAGGGAAGGAAGGGAGTCGGAAGACATAACGGAGCAAGAAGGAGAGAGAGTCGGAGGGAAAGAAAAATTAAGTGTGAAAAATTGCACAGGAGAGAGGACGAGGAGGCGAGTGAGGTGTCAGGAGGAACAAAGACATGCAGGGATGCAGGAAGAGGAGGATATGAAGTCAAATAAGAGAAGTAGGGAAGAATTTCTGCTTTTAAATTCAACATTAGAGTTTTAAGGACGCTCTGCTGGGCAGGTAGGAAAAGAAAAAAAACTATTCAAGTACAACACAAGCGCCTCGTCTGACTTTCTAAATTTAGTTCAGTTCAAGTAAGCAAACCAGAAGCCAAAGTAAACAGAAGACGTGGCAAGGATTACACTTTATCAGTTATTATTATTCACATTTAACGTGACTGGACTCCTTCAGCCTGTTCTACACATGAGTTACTTTAAACAGATTTTATTGAAAGTTTCTAGGACAAAAAACAACATTGTGGTGCTCAGAAGTACATTTTACTGATAAAACTTAAACAGCTTTTCTTAAGTTACATGTTGAACGCAGGGCTTTTTTAGTAGTTTGAGAGAAACATGAAGCTACGACGTGGTATTACTAACTCTGGGCTCGTTCCATGTCACCTCACTTAGCTCATATTATCATGACAGCTTCTATTAAGTTATTAGGAACTCGCAAAATCCAAAAACTTTGATCGCTGAGTTCAACACTTGTCCCTCTAAAGCCTCACCAGTCGCTTACTTTTACCTCGATTGGGCAACTCCACGAGATCCTGAGGATAATTTGCAGCTAAACAGTCATCGCTGAATGTTTTAAAGTAATCAAATTAATAACAATAAATACCTAGACAAAAAAAAATTAATATTTTACACTTTCTTGCAACTGAATTTTGATTCTGTGCTGCAGTAATATAGTTATTTCATATCATATCATATAATTAAGGGCCAGAAGCCTCATTAAAAACAGCTTTTAAGGTATTCTGACTGGAGGAGGATTATTCTAAACCATCTGAGTGTTAATATTTACTGCAGATATATTAAAAAATGACAAGGTAGAATATTACTCCTTCATCATTTAGTAACTAGAAATAGATATTTATAGATAGATATTTGAAAACAAAGCTGCCAAACAGACTTCTAAAGGATTCGTTTCATTTGAAGGTGAAACAAAAACGTTATCAGCTTGAATCTAGCACGACTGTACAAAAGCCAAACTCTGCAGCGGATTACGCGTCCGACTTTCTCGTGACCGGACACGCTAACTTCCCGGAGTCACAGCTGGTTGACTCACAACTGCTCAGAGCCGAGAACTCGTCATCGTCACGCAATCTCCCCAAACAACAGTGAATTGTAATTTTTACACGAAGCTAATGCTTCGAAAGAGCATGAAGACAAAAGACAGTGTGATCTGATGAGACAAAAAAAATTAAAAAATGTGTCGGGCCCTGAACTTTGCATGCTGACACATTTTAGATCATCAGTGTTAGCGTTTAGCTCGCTAAGCTACAAATGCTGTACATCTGGCTTTGGCTGCAGAGGCATCATTTCATTGTTTGTGTAGGTTTTGCAGATAATAAGTGCAGAACATCACCAGTTTTACCCGTGAAATAACAGGGTCAGAGGAAAGTTCATCAAGAAAACAAGCTGCCGAACACGTTTAATTCAACTCAGCGTGAGTGTCTTCCACAGACTGCCGGCCGCGGCAAATGAGCATCATTTATCAGCGTCACTATGAGAGAGGAACGCTCTGCTCTATCAGCTTTGACAGCCTTTATTCTCCCACTCTGTTCCAAACTCCATTCCTCTCTCTATCTGGGTATTTTTCTACCTTCCCCTTTCTCTCTCTTATCTCCCCTCGGTTGCCGTCCTCTCTCATCTCTCACTGTCTCCCTCCCTCTCTCCTGAGTTACTTTAAAAACAGTTGAGAGGGACAAACGGACTTTCCGTCGGGATCCTCTCGCGCCCGAGTTTGTGCCGAATGCTGACATCGCCGCGGCAACGGATGCTGTGATGCAGTTTTTTTGAGGGAAACGTAAACAAAAAAAAAATGAGACGTCAGAGGCCCGGCTGGGGATGAGCTTATAACGATTTGACATTCAGCGTGACGGAGCGGATCTGCAGTCACATCGGCTGTCTCCTGAAATGTATTTAGTGAGTACGTGACGGATGCATCGCTGTACGGCGTTTGTTTTTATTCCTTTATTGGATGTTATTGTTCCCCCCCCTGCTGTGTGGCGCATCTGTTTTGTCAGAACTCTCGGGAGGATGCTTAAACTCGATGATTCATTAGACACGCCGTGCGATGGAGTGGATGAACAACGCGGTACCTGATGATGTCTATGTGTCCGTTCTTGGCAGCCAGGTGAAGCGGAGATGTCCCGTTCGGGTCGGTGGTGTCTCCTTTTTTGGGCTCCAGCAAAGCGGCGCACATGTTACTGGACAGCAACAACTGGACCACCTGCACGCAAAGAGAACATCAGCGACGCGTTTTTCTGCGGATGCTCTAGATCAGGGGTGCCCAATCCTGGTCCTCGAGAGCCCCTATCCGGCATGTTTTAGATGTTTCCCTTCTTCCAACACACCTGATTCACATGATCAGGATCGGATCAGGATGTTGGAAGAGGGAAACATCTAAAACATGCCGGATAGGGGCTCTCGAGGACCAGGATTGGGCATCCCTGCTCTTGATAACGAGTAAAACCGCGGCTTCTTACCCCAACTCTGCCAAACTCGCAGGCCAGGTCCAGAGGTGTTTTCCCCGCGTTGTCCACAATGCACGGGTTGGACTGGTGCTGCAGAAGCATCTCAGACTGGAAAGACACAAAAAGCACATCAGATCTGTCCGCGTGTTGAAAAGAGGCCTGGAAAGGGCAGCAGGCTAACGCAAGCAGACAAACAATCATTCCACCAGGAGACAGAGTGAAACCGACAGTTGACATTTACAACCACGCTGTTAACTATAAATATTGGAACGGAGCATTTTCACCTTGCTTAATGCGTTTATATAAGTACTTTTTGGAAGACAACACTTCGACACGTCTCAAGTAACTTTCAGATCGTGCATCATAGAACAGAGCGATGGTGGGTTTTAGAAATACGGATGTTTGGTTGTAGTTTCTTCATGCAAGTTTTTTCTGTCCTCACAAAGTAATTCGTGTTAAACTCTCTAACCCGTTGTCTGTTCTTTGTTATTATAGTTATTTCTGGTCAATATCTGGCACTAGAATTTCCTTTGGGAACAACAAAGTTCTGTTTTCTTTCGGTAAACTCCTAAAAACTCATTCAAGCTATGTATTTTGTTTTTTCAAGACAATAATCTCTTTGTAAAATGACTTTTAAGCAGCAGGTGCATTCTCTAAAATGTGCACATCAACCCACCCCAACACTACCCGCTGCAGCCCGAGCACACCAGCTCGCCCATGACTCAAACCATTTTACGCTACGCGATGACAAGATGCTACGCTGGTGTAATTAAGCCATAAATGTTCAAGCCAGAAACTGATTCTAAAGAAGAATATGGACGCAGAACGCCGAAACCCTGCAAGTTGACAGGATTGGTTCCATTGGTTTGGTTCAAATCAAACCCCGGCTGTCTGTTCTTGTTTTTGTCAACATCACACCGAAGTTTCAAGGTGAAAATATGCAGCCATGGTGCTTATTTTGCTCACGATTTGTCTTCTGGCTTATAAAAATAAAAACATCATATAGACATGTTAACATGGCAAAAAATGTATTTAAAAAAAATGTTTAATTGTCCTAAAATCGGGAAAAGAATCTCCAGCATCATGGTGACATTTTTCACAAGGATAAAAAGACTGAAAAGAAAATGCGGAATGAGAAATTGCATTGCAGTGCAGCAGTGAAGCTAGCAGAACAGAGGCTAGCTGCTAGCCGCTGGCTATATGGAGTCATACTTTGGCAATTTATCTTGCATTTAAAGAAGATAAAGGAGAAAAAGATTAGAAAAAGATTAACAAGGTTGGAGTAATTAGCATGTTCGGCTAACTAGCAAAACTGCGGAAGTGGAAATTTTTCAAAAGTTCACGAGTGTTGTGATGTGTTTGCTAATGTTTTTAGAAACGATGGCGGCCATTTAATGCTCTATTTTCAGTTAATATAGTTAATATATTACCATTTTTTCTTTGTAACGTCATATCGTCTGAGGAAAATGTTCTCAACAGCCTCATCTTTTCATCGGCATTTCCGACGTTACGTTACCGTCCCATTAGCATGCTAAATGATTAGCCTCGGTTAGCGGCTCTAGTCATCAAACAGCGGTGTTTTCACAACTCCATGAACACCTAAAACTGTGTTCATTTTGTAAATTAATGTATTCCAATGTTCTCGAACGCAGAGCTTAGCAGCGCGGCTCAGTGAACAGCTAACATTCTTTGGACTTGTGAGACTCAACCAAACACAAAGGTCCCAGACGGCCTGCAGGTTCTGACCCACAACCTTCGTCTAGCTGTGGGGCGACACTGTTGCTGCGCCACAAGGATGAAAAGACATAATTATGTAATGCAGACACACTCGGTCGCAAAGAAACACACATCACACGCTCTCACATAATACAGGCTCAGTCAAAACACATTTTAACGTCTCGCTGTTCAAAAAGACGAGCAAAACACATTATCAGGGTCACGTCATTGCGCCTGTTGATTTCCATCTCAAAGTGCTTCTAACATCATTGTACGATTTGCACTTTTGACTGTCGTGAAAAAAGCACAATATGGTAATGATTCAGATGTGACAGGAAGCTGTTTACTGAGACAAATTGAGTGTACGGTATCTCTGTTACAAACAGTCGAGTTTTGCCAGTTTTTATCTCAAGGTGAGTTAAAAAAAGAAGAAGAGGATTTTCCCTGTTTAAAAAAGCAGCTTGTCATGTTACCACGACTTCAGAAGAGCGCAGCGGCATCAGGTGACAGGAAAAGACGAGTTAAAATGGGAGAAAAAATCCTTTTCCCCACCACATAAATGATTTTACTGTGCTTTCAGCTTCATAATGCTTCTTAAAAATAGCCCACATTAGGAGAAAACACAACGTTAGAGTCTCTCGTCTCAGGTAGAACCCCGTCTCCTGGTCATCTTTGCTTTTAAAGCAATTGTCTCATTATTTTGAGCTTCCTGTATGTTCTGTTTTTAATTTTGCTTATGATATATTTATCTGTCCGTGCACACTGGGAGCAGCTGCGGATTAAAGCTTTAGCTCCCGTTTGTTGCTCTGTATAAATCATAGATATTTAATCGAGTAGAAGCAGCGGTTCTTCTTCAGCTGTGGTGATTGTGAAAGCTCAGCTCGGCTCTTCTCTCCTCCGGGGTATCTTAGCTGCTGGAGTGAGTCGGCTGTATTGCATTGTTGTTTCTTTGGCAAGCCTGCAGCAGCACTGCAGTGTTTCCCCCCCATGTTATTATTTTTTTTCCCCCCTTTATAGGGAAAGCCTCTGAAATGGAATCTCTTCAGTTCATTTTGTTTCCGAGGACATCATGTGTTTTCTCGACACATGAAAAATGTTATGGGGCTATAAAGTGAGTATAGCAGGGACCACTGAAGGAGCTTATTGTGGGTATAACCCGGCAAGAACAAGATGTAGACGATGCTAGAGTTTAAAGTAGATGGTTCCAGACGACTTAATTCCAGGTAAAGCACAGGTGTGATGAAAAATACTATGACAATCCCATGTAGCTTTCTAGCTATGTTTGCGTTCAGCACTATAGTTTCATTCTGGGACTAAAGTAGAGTAACTGTGCTTGGCTCATAGTTTAAAACATCCTCATTTATCTCATACTTTTTGTTTCGGAGCCCAACAGTTGAGCCTCTACCTGAAACAGACGACAAAAAGCCCACCTTGTTCTGATTGGCCAGCTTCCGGAAGCCTCTCGACACCTTGTACTTGTGAGCATCACTTCATCCCGTTGTCTTACTAAACTGTAGCCTTACTAGGTAACATAATTTCTCATCCCCGATTGGAAATTTCTCAAATCCATCTGTACATATTTGAAAACGGATCCAGAATGGACGGCAGCAACATCCGCAGAAACAACGATGATAGCAAGACGACGCTGTTCGGCAACTATTATGCTCATTACCTGCTTATTGTGTGCTGGGGGATTTAGTATTTTTGATCACAAATATCTAACTAATAGGGTAGCATAGCCAAAAAATGTTATCCTGCCAAACAACTGTATAGTTACTCGCTACCCGGTCAATAATTTGTATGCTGGAGTACATTAAATGCCCATAATACTACTGAAGTACTTTGATTTGCAAGACCGTACACTTACCAAGAAGACCGTAGTTTGACTTTGTGGGTGTTTGGTGCCTGGAGCAGATAACGATATAAAGTAATCTGTGACCAGCTTGGCACGAAAGTATTAAAAAAAACGTTGGAAAACTAGTGTTCAGAGCAGCCTCAAGCCTCAGTTCTTGGCTCACAGTGACGACTCTCATCTACATTTACCCCATTATCTAAAACTTTGGCCACATTTAAAACAACGTAGGAGTTCATGTGTCCAACAGTTGCCTATTTACACATCCAGCAGACACAGGGCAACATTAGCATTCATTTGAAGTTGGGTTTCTGGGGGCCTGTGGGATGTAACTCTAATATTTACCGTCTTATTATCTTCGCCTTTGTCTGGCCCAACTCCCTGTATGGCTCTTTAGCTGCTAAACGCTCCGGCTGATGTTTTCTGGGCAGGTAGTTTGTGCAGTGGGCTGTTTTTGACTTGACACTCTCAGAGGGCTGAGAGTGAACGAGAGTATTACAGCTGCAAGCCAGAAAACTTACACCGAAGGATGTTAATACGGGCTGCAGAACTGAGAGGACGTGCAGACTCAAGAGGTAAATCTCAGTTGGTACGTCAGTTTAAGCAACACCTATAGCATCATATGTGGTCATTTTATCCATGATGGTGTAAAAATGTTGACTATAGCAGCTTTAAATGTTCCAACATTAAGTAATGTTTAGACATGTATTTAGCCTCGCCTACTTCAGAACTAAATATTTTTGTTATGTGAATCTAGACAACTACTAACATCTACAGTTGAAACCAGAAGTTTACATCCACTGTATAAAAAGACATATAACCTTGTTTTTTTTCTCACTGTCTGACATTAAATCAGACTAAACTATTCCTGTTTTAGGTCAGTTAGGATTACAAAAATTATTTCTATTTGCTAAACACCAGAATAATGAAAGAGAGAATTTTTTTTTATTACTTTCTTCAATGTCAGAAGTTTACGTAGACTAAGATGCCTTCAAACTAATTGGGAAAGCCCAGATGATGATATAATTAATCCAAAAGCCAGATTACAGTTTGCAAATGCACACAGGGACAAATACCTTAATTTCTAGAGACATGTCCTGCGACATGACGAAACTAAAACTGAACTGTTTGGCCTTAATGACCATCGTTACATTTGGAGGAAAAAGGGGGACGCTTGAAGCCTGAGAACATCATCCCAACTGTGAAGCACGGGGGTGGCAGCATCATGCTGTGGGGCTGTTTTTGTGCACTTTACACAATAGATGGCATCATGAGGACAGAACGTTATGTGGAAATATTGAAGCCACATCTCAAGACATCAGCCAGGAAGTTAAAGCTTGGGCGTAAATGGGTCTTCCAAATGGACAATGACCCTCAGCATAGCGCCAGATTAGTTAGAAAGAGGCTTCAGGACAACAAAGTCAATGTGTGGAGTGGCCGTCACAAAGTCCTGATCTCAGTCCTGTAGAAAATTTGTGGGCAGAGCCTTACAAACCTGACTCAGCTCCACCGGTTCTGTCAGGAGGAATGGGCCAGAACTCTGTGAAACGATTGTGAGAAGCTTGTGGAAGGAAACCCAAAACGTTTGACCCAAGTCATAGAGTTTAAAGGCAACGCTGCCAAATGCTAAGAAAATGTATGTAGACTTCTGACTCTGAAGAAAGTAATTAAAAATTCTCTCTCTCATTGTTCTGGTGTTCAGCAAATAGAAATAATGTTGGTAATCCTGACTGACCTAAAACAGGAACAGTTTAGCCTGATTTAATATCAGACGGTGAGAAAATAAAGGTTATGTGTCTTTTTATAGTGTGGATGTAAACTTCTCTCTGCTGTCACTCACCACGTCGTAGTGTCCGTGCTGCGCCGACAGGTGGAGAGGAATTTGTCCCTCATCTGATTGGCCGTTGACGGACGAACCTGATTTCAGCAGCATCTTCATCGGCTCCGCCTTCCCCTGCCAGGCGGCGTAATGCAGCGGCCGCATACCTGCACACACAGAAACACACACAGTCTGAGCATCTCCATTACATGTTATTGACTGATGGGTTTATGTACATGTGTGAGGGTCATGTTTCCTACATGCTTCTGTTTTCCGGTGTGTGTGTTTGCCTCTCACCTTTCTGGTCTCTGATGTCGACAGCAGCCTGCGACTCCAGCAGCAGAGAGATGAGCTCCAGGTTGCCGTTAAGGGCCGCATGGTGCAGTGGAGAAAACCTGCAAACACATCACGGGTTACATTTCCAGCCCAATATCTCACCATTCATTTAGTTTTTTTCCACCCTGAACGACAGCCTTTCGGATCAAACGATAATAAAGACCACACACACTGAAACACGCACGCAGGTCAACGATAATGGCAAAACTTAGCATGACAAATAGATTTAATAACAGGGGATTAAGGAGCCGACATCTGATGTGTATCTGCTGCAGAGCTGCAAAACAGAGCAGAGGAGGAGGGATGAGATGGAGAGAGATACATGCACAAGGGGAAAGGTATTATATTATGGAGAGCAGGCAGTGGGTGTGTGTGTGAGGCCAGAGGGTTTATGCTGAGTTGATGAGATTGATATGTCAGCTTTGATGAATAAGCGTGAGAAACGGTATGAGGAGGAGAAAGCATCACACGACCCGAGGACACGTACGAATGAAAGAGGAAAAATCGTCCCTCACACCTTGGGTCTGACTCAGACTGGCGGTGACATGTGTCGTCTCTCTCCTCGGCGTGATTTGCTGTTTACTGCCAAACACTGTCACCGATAGCTTCAGGTGGGCTCTTACTCCCATGAAACCGAGCTAGCAGAACTACGCTGCCCTTTCCACCCCGCGGGCCCGTGCATCGGGACTCGAGCTGTGTCTGTTTTTAAAATGCAACCGGATGACATTTTCAGAAGGTTGACACATCCAGTGCCGTCCGGTGCTACTAAATTTTTTCCAGCAGGTTCGGTGGCGTCGGTGCTCACTGACTCATTGTTGTGAGGATGCTCAGGATTAGGAGGAAGTGAAAATGTCAATTTTTTGCTGTAGCTTTTCAAATCTCGCTGTGGCCGCGGGACACGCGCGCTAATTGCATTTCGAAATTCTCCCAAGTGTGTCTTATCTAGAGAACCCTGGGCTGTTCGTTTTGACCTTGCAGTTTTGCAGCTGTTACTGTCTAAATTTGGGGGATGTTTTTTTTTTGAGGTGGAGATTTCAAAAAAACAGCCCGAGGCTTAAGGGGTTAACGGTGAAAAGTGCAGTGACTGGAGCTGTTATTGACATTCGCTCCGGTCGGATGTTTTGCACAGCAGGCAAGTTGAAGAGATCGTCATGTTTGCTTGATGGGAGGTTAAGCTTCAAGATAAATCTGACCGGGAATTTCTCGGGTACTGACCAACCTGCTCATCCATCTATACAAGGGAGGTTACACTTGCAGCTACCCGGAGCAAATAAACATGTAAGAAGATAAGCAAATAGAGTTGCTGCTTTTGTGTAGCTGTTCTAGCAGATCCATCCATCCATCATCTATACACCGCTTAATCCTCACTAGGGTCGCTGGAGTCTATCCCAGCTGACTCAGGGTGAAGGCAGGTTCACCTGGACAGGTAACCAGTCTATCACAGGGCTACACTTAGAGACAGACAACCAAGCACACTCACATTCACACCTACAGACAATTTAGAATCACCAATTAACCTCAGCATGTTTTTGGACTGTGGGAGGAAGCCGGAGAACCCGGAGAGAACCCACGCTGCATGAGGAGAACATGCAAACTCCACGCAGAAAGATCCCGGGTGTCCTCACCAGGCCACGAACCGGCGAGGCGACGACGCTAACCCCCTCTGCTCAACTCGCCTTTCACTATTATGGATAGCACAACTTGATGAGGTTAATCTTATTGCCGCATTGTGAAAGTGTCGGTCGTAGGTTTATACTGACGAATTTCTAGTCTAGTTTATTTTTAAAGGCGTCCTTACTTCACCGTTATCGCTCAAATGTTTGCACAGGCTCGAGGTCAACAGCAATAACAATTCAATCAGTTCGTTAGCTACGTCCAGCTAAAATTAATCCAGTCCTGCAATAAATGCCACCTTCAGGGAAGTAATAACCTTCAGTTTTATTGAAACCGCCTTAAAGAGATTTGATTCAATGTTAGAATCGTTTAGAGGCTGCAACTGAGGTGTATCATAACGAGGAGTGTTTCTAATATTGGGCTGCACGGTGGTGCAGTGGTTAGCATCGTTGCCTCACAGCAAGAAGATCGCTGGTTCGCGTCACCCAGGTTAACCCTGAATCCAAAACGGCATTAAAATCATCATTAGAGGAGGCACGATTTCTTGCAGGACTGTTATATTAGACTGTATTATTTATCACGGTCTGGTAATCCAGCAGTTGAGTGCGAATAAGTGAACCTCCATGTTTCACCTATATGCAGTGATACGATGCCACAATCAGCTCCAATAATCCATTTGAACGGGCAAGTTATGATCATTTAACACTGTTCATATCAGCATCTTGTGTTGTGGGACACGTTCATAGAGCTGATCTTGTATTTTACCATCCAGTTCTCCCGTCAGCCACAACTTACGCGTCCCTGCACGAAGGGATTCCAATGGATTCGACTGTTTTATTTGAAAATTAGCATTTCAGCGACTTGCTTTGGATTCTCTCTGGCAGACGACAGACTCTCGCTTTTCTTCAGGATGCTCATTTACATTTCGCATTATCCTCCATTGTGTGTTTCCGCTTTTCCGACGGGGAGAAAGGAGTGAAGAGAGTAAAAATAAAAATTAAATAAATCACCGCTTTAAATTGCCTCTGAGTGCAACTTTTTCGCGTGAATGATAACACAAATGAAACGCGCCCCGGTGTTTTTCCGCTCCCCTGAGAACGGGGCTTTCCTTGATCCCAGCCTGCGAACTGCTGCCATACATCATCATTAAAAAAGGTTGAATAATGATCCAAGCGAGGCAGCCGAGTGCACCTGTGAAATCAATATCATATTCTCTAGTTTACACCTCCGAAGGAGCCAAATTAGCTGAGCGTGACAGAAAAAAAAAAAGAAAAGAACGGCGGTTTCTGTCATCAAACTGCTGCACACAATAGAATTAAAGCTTCGTCTTCCTCCAGAAGAACTCGTCTCCTATGGATGAGCAGGTTCCTAATGTGTGTTTCAGGATTCAAGCAGAAATGCAAACTGTACTTTCTGACGGTGGAAGCTGATGGGAGATTAGTACGGTTGACAGAAACAAAATAAAATGTGAAGAAGTGCATCGAGTGAAGGCTTCAGATGCACCTAAAGCTAAATATAAAAATCAATGCAACCCTAATTCAATGTAATCAGGCTGTTTTGGGATGAGAAAGCTGGGACTGGATGGAGACCAGAGGCCGGATGGAGACTTGAAGCTGGATGGAGACTGGAAGCTGGATGGAGACTAGAGGCTTGATAGAGACTAGAGGCTGGATGGAGACTAGAGGCTGGATGGAGACCAGAGGCTTGATAGAGACTAGAGGCTTGATTGAGACTAGAGGCTGGATGGAGACTAGAAGCTGGATGGAGGCTAGAGGCCGGATGGAGATCAGAGGCTGGATGGAGACTAGAGGCTTGATAGAGACTAGAGGCTGGATGGAGACTAGAGGCTGGATGGAGACCAGAGGCTTGATAGAGACTAGAGGCTTGATAGAGACTAGAGGCTGGATGGAGACTTGAAACTGGATGGAGACTAGAGGCTGGATGGAGACCAGAGGCTTGACAGAGACTAGAGGCTGGATGGAGACTAGAGACTGGATGGAGACAAGAGGCTTCTCTGTGCACAATCGTCCAGCTAGCATCAACCATCATCTGCATGCGAGATGTTTAGGGATCATCAGGAAATTGTAGAGTCTGTTGCTAAGAACATGTGGCATTCTGGGTACAGTACAGGAGATGCACTGAATTCACACAAAGATGATTTTAAGCCTCATTCAGATGCAGATTTGTACATTATGAAAGCAGCATTCTGTTTATTTAAATGTGAAAAGTGCAATAAAAATATTTTGCCCTTTAAAATCAGTAAATAATTTGCGATAAATACTGCTGGAGTCAACACTGTAAAACCTGTTAGCTGGATCGTAATCAACCCTTTGAATTAAACATCACACGTAGACCATCGCTGAGGCTTCACGCTGCTTCCAACCACCAGACCCTGAGCGGCGTTCCCACCACGCATGTGCCGTAACCCATTTCTGCATCTCAGCAACAACTGCGTCGCCGTCGCGTCGCTCTTCCCTCCGGGGTTAAACGGGGATAGCGTTACACAATGCCGCGATAGGCTGAGTGGAACAGTGTGTGTGTTGTGTGTGTGTGCAGAGTGTGTCAGTGGGGTGCATGTATGGGGGAAGTAGAGGGAAGCCCTCGCTTTTGCCAAGTAGTAAAACCTGACATGCAATATTTATATCCTCCTCCTTCTTCTTCCTCTCGTTCTTATTCCACTCATCTCCCTCCTTCCCCTTCCTCAGCCAGGTGACAGCTCCTCCACAGCTCCTTCCTCTCCAGTCTAACCTCCTCTCATCTCGTCTCTTCCTCTCTTTCCCTCCATAAATCCTTCGCTGTCTTCCCATCTTCTTCCTGAGACCAATCCACAGTCGGTGTCCATCTTACAGCTCAATCATGTAATCTGTGGCCTTCAGGCTTCTGATGTCAAGAGCTCAATGCTGCATGTGTTTCAGGACTGACGACAAAAACAGTACAAATAAAAAATGTCCAGTTTGCTGTTATGGATCATCCATCATGTGTCATTTGGGTCATGTGTGTTTTTGCCTTATTCAGTTGTGACAGTAGAGTTCTACATAAGAGAGAAGTAACTCGCAGCAAAAGCTCTACACATGGCAGCATCTAAAGCGTTCTTTTCCCAACTCTTTATTTAAATTGTGGAATTATTTTCCATTTCTTACGGGTTATTGATCAAACCTATAAAAACTACATACAGTCGTGACTCCATAATCTGACCCTTAACAATCCTAAACCTTGCTATCCGACAGGTTTTTAGGAAAAACGAACTGAACCCATTAAAAACAGCCTTAACATACCGACAGCCTTGGATTCTGACTCCGACATGACATTTAATGTCACCAATCAGGATAACGCCGTATTATCTGACTGAACAATCCCACAGATTGGCTACGTTCACACTGCAGGACTTGATGCTCAATGAGGATTTCTTTGTGAGTTTGTTCACATT